TTAGTCTTTAACGAGCCGAAAAGAATGCACGTCACACCTCTGTTCATCAATTTGCACTGGCTACCAGTAGCTGCTCGCATTAAATTCAAGGCATTAATGTTTGCCTACAAAACCACCACTGGCTCTGCACCCCTTTATCTAAATTCATTACTTCAGACGTATGTGCCCTCTAGAAGCTTGCGTTCTGCAAGTGAAGGGCGCAATATTGTTCCATCCTTGCCACATAAAAATCTAGTACTAGGGAGAACTACCAAGGTAAAATGCTGTTTTATGCAACTTTCACATGGTCAGGAAGCAAACTTTGAGCCTTCAATGTCAGCTTTGGAAAAAGAACACTATTACGCACAGTTTGGTCCATTTCAGGGACATTTAAAGTACAATGTCAGCTGCATGTATTCTACTAAACGTCCTCTGATATCATGTAATAGTAGACTTAAACACAACAAAATAACACACACACACAAACACACACACACACAGATACACACACAGATACACACACACACACAGACAGACACACACAGACACACAGATACACACACAGACAGACACAGACACACACAGACACGCACACAGACACACACACAGACACACAGATACACACACAGACAGACACACACAGACAGACACACACACACACACACACACACACAGGTGTCAGCTCAGTCGCTCAGCGCTGGTGCTCACAGAACCGCGAGAGTGTGACAGCAAACCTCAGTGCCGATGCCGGGCTGCGGGCCGGAAAACACTTCCTCTGGAGGAGGGCCGCCGTACTTCCTCTGGCCTGTCGTGACGTCTAGAGTGTATCCCGTCCTCTCCAGCAGATCCTGAGACACAATCAGTACATCACAGCATGAAGATCAGCCTAACAGCGATGCTCAAACAGGCAGAGGAAGAGTCATTGTTCTAGCGGACTATGAAATCTATGGCCACTGAGTGTCTCTCCTAGGCGATAAAACGGTATCGATATTTATCGACGGTACACCTTCATCGATAACGATATAAAAATGTTCGATATAGCGCACGATATAGGCACGTGCTATGAGAGACGCAGACAGCACACACGAACACATGCTGAAATGAGTGCTGTGCCTGCCTGTGATGAGGAGATTGTGAATAAAAACATTAATATATAACTTTTTTCTTATAACAAAAATAACTGAACATTTAAATGCAATAAAGCAATACAGAAAAATGTATAAAGTTAAAAGTTTTACACAGATTAAAGTGCAAAAGAACTATAAAGACCAATAGGTATCACTTTACAATAAGACCTCATTAGTTAACCTTAGTTAATGCATTAACATTCACAATGAGCAATAGCTACATTTGCTACAGAAGTTATTAATCTTTGTTTAAAAAATACAAGTCTTAGTTCATGTTAGCTCATTAAATAACACAGTTGCAACTTTCGATTTTAACAACGTGTTATTAAATATTGTAATTACCTAAGATTAATGAATGTTCAGAAGAATTTTTCATTGGCAGTTTGTTAACTAATGAATTAACTAATGTTAACTAATGAAGTCCTAATGTAAAGTGTGACCGAACAATAAAGAATCAGAACACTTTCAAACAATATCTAGGGCATGTTGTAGTCCAGATTAAAATTAAAAAAAGTTTGAAAATAAATAGCCTATTAAGTCTAAATATTTAAGTATTTGGCGCTGTGATGAACATCATAGCAAATACACAAATCTGAATGGCTGTTTAAATCATTTAAACACGATTCAGAAACAGGAAGTAGTGCAGCTGCTTTGTTTACAGGGTTTCCGGGGCAACGGCTGCATTTAAATGAATTATTATTATTATTATTATTATTATTATTATTATTATTATTATTATTATTATTATTATTATTATTATTTCTGCAGTTTAGCGCCATCTGCTGTCAGAGAGTGAAAGTGCGCTTTCATCCAGAGCGTCTCTTACATGTTCCGCCATGCGCTTCTCGTCCGTGCTTGTTTAGGTCAGAGTGCGCACGCATCTTTCATGCAGCATACGGCGGTGTTGTGCATTTTGACCAGTTTATGGGAAAAGTATTCTTAAAATGCATTCAAAATTCTGAATAATTTGTAATAACTAATTATTCTCGGTATTTAGAAGCGCCCACGATAACAATATCGTGCATATTCATTACCGTGATATATCGCATTACCGAATACCGGCACAAGTCTATTGTTATATATATGTTAATTTAGACGTTATGCACGTTTTTATAGACAGCTTCATTATTTTGCTCATTGCGTCCTCCTGTGGCCTCGCGAGACAAGCCAAAAGTTTCCTTCAGACTTATTTAATCTGCAGATAAAACATAAGAAAGGAGATATTTGTTTACATTTTATTTTGTGTTTGACTGTTAAAAAATAATATATATATATTTGTTGTTTGTCTTAATAAAGTGGGCAAATTAAAAATACAGTGGTTAAATAAATAAAAAATTACATTGCTGTTTTAAAAAAGGTTATAAAAAATGTCAGTAATTATTGATACCGAACGATATGAAACGTATACCGTTGATATATATTTTTTAGCTATATCGCCCAGCCCTAGTCTCTCCTGATGTTACGTGACATTATTGCTCTCAAGCTGTTTTACTGAAGTCTTTTACAGGTCACTAAAAGTCCAAATGCACCATCAGAGAACCACTAATTACACATCATAAACAGAAAACTGCTATTTCGGCTGAAAATCTTTTGGAACATCGCTACTTAAAATGATTTACAATAAAACAAAATTTAAGATTTCAGAAACTCCATGAATTAGTATCTGGAATCCTAAAAAAAAAAAATATATATATATATATATATATGATTTTAATTACTTTTCTAATGTACAGATCACAGAAGTGTCCATATATTAAATATATTTAAAAAAAGAGGCTTTAAATACTACTGTGGACAATGGAGTGAAAAAGCTTGAGAAGCACAGGTATATTCACGGCTCTATTTGTGGCCACGAAACAGCTGCAGTACCTTTATCTTGGCCTCATCAGGGCCTTTCGTGGACTCCTGCACTTTATTGCCCTGCTTTTCCCGCTGCCGGTACGTCTTCATCACGCCGCACAGGAAGGCGCTCTTATTCTGGAACCAATCAGAGGAAAGGACGTGACATCAAACAGGTCTGAATGTACAACAAATGAGGGGAACACAGAAGTATAAACTGTTTTCCTCAGTAGGCATGTTTACATGCACTCATTTTCATCAATTCTGGAAGTTCTGCAATCTTATTCACATTGTCATTTTCATGTGCATTTGTGTATTCCAAACCAAACTGCATCAGCCAAACTGGAGAAAGTCACGGCTATAACATCACCGTTACTGTGATTATAATCGTTGTTTTCAACTCCATGACATATCTAAAAGGAAAGCTTGACGAATGTGTCAAAATAACCAAATATTTAGTAAATATTCAGCTCAAAAGATGTAAATAAACATATGCACATTCGTAAGAAATAAAGAAAAAGAAATGCAGTCACATGCTTAATTGTTTATCCTACTGATCAGACTGTTTCAGGTCTACACCCATTTCAGTCCGATCAAAGACTTTCTGATCTGACTGCCAACGGATGATGTGTGTGTGAGAGTGTGTGTGTGTGTGTGAGTGAGTGAGTGTGTGTGAGTGAGTGAGTGAGTGAGTGAGTGAGTGTGTGAGTGAGTGTCTGAGTGAGTTTGTGTGTGTGTGTGAGAGTGAGTAAGTGAGTGTGTTAGTGAGTGAGAGTGAGTGAGTGAGTGAGTGAGTGTGAGAGTGTGTGTGTGTGAGTGAGAGAGTGAGTGAGTGAGTGAGTGTGAGAGTGTGTGTGCGTGTGTGAGAGAGTGAGTGAGTGAGTGAGTGTGAGAGTGTGTGTGCGTGTGTGAGAGAGTGAGTGAGTGAGTGAGTGTGAGAGTGTGTGTGCGTGTGTGAGAGAGTGAGTGAGTGAGTGAGTGTGAGAGTGTGTGTGCGTGTGTGAGAGAGTTGTGTGTGTGTGTGTGTGTGTGTGTCTGAGTGAGTTTGTGTCACCTGCACGTGTGAGAGGTCAGACTCCTTGAACTGCTGCAGCACCGACATCGCTCCCTCCTCATTAAACTCCCGCAGCGCATCCAGCGCCCGCTCGTCCAGATCCACGTACGCCACCAGCCCTGAACACACACACACACACATTTAGAAACAAACACCAAACCCTCCTTCATCCATCAAGTCTAGATTAGTGACACTCCAATCTGTCCAGTTCACAAATACACCTTCCTTCAGTTCTGGTTTCATGTGGTCCAGACGGTCCGTCTCACCTGTCTGGAAGATGTTGTCCAGGCTCTCGGCGACCTTCTGCGGCAGACCGGCGTCCAGCAGCGTCTGGTAGTTCTCCGAGTGTGTGGCAGTCACATCCATGGGCTCCTCTTCTTCTTTGAGCAGACCGGAGCTGCCATTCACCTCAGCAGCCATTACTCTGACACACAGACAGCAGACATGAGCGTCAATCACACCAAACCAGGCTTCTCTAGAAGGAGACACACTAGTCTCGCCCAATAGTGCAGTGATGGGTCCTCAAGTCACCGCTGACGTTATGAGTTTAGGATCACGGGTTATGAGGAGAACATCAGATAAGAGAGACTAATCTGTAGAACCTCTTGCTGTATCATCAACACAAGGAAGACACAAGTGTGTTAAAATACATTTTAATAACAAAAGACAGACCAGAGTAACCAACAACTACTTTAACATGAAGATAAGACATAAGATGCTGCACTACACATCTCTGTCACTGAGAATACTTATTTCTCTGAATAAGTGAGATGTGTGTGTAGTGGTCTGCATCAGTTTAAGGTTTGTTTGACCCACTGCTGCTGCGTCCGGAGGTCCTGAGGAACTTTTAAGGCATCACAGGCCAAGCCTTAGGAATCAGTCTCTAGCTGAGTGAAGGGTAGAAACTGCATTTGGACCAACGAGAAGTCCTGTCCTCGGTACCAGAGGTCTTCTTCTGGCTTTAAGAGGCGTCTACGAGCTTAGTCCACTATTGTGTTCAGAGAGGGGCCCCGCTATAACTGGGCCCTGCTGCTCACTACATATGAATATATAAATACAAACACTTTTATAAATTATTATATAAATATATCTAGCACTCTAATACATACTGAAGTGTTCATAATTTGTATTTTTATAGAAATTTAGATTTTATGTATACAGATATATAATATGAACATATAATTAAAATACATAAACACTTTAATATAGAATGTAAACGATTTATAAATAAGTATAGAGTAGACAATGTTCTATATAGTGTTTATATATATTCACATTATACATTGATATAATTTTATACAAATACATAACCACTTTAATTTTTGTAATTTATATAATTCTTATTTTATATTATATATACATATATATTCAAACACTTTAATATATAAATATAAACACGTATATGTGTGTGTGTATATATATATATATATATACACACACACAATATTATATGCAGATTCACATTAAACAAAAATATTAATATATAAATAACTATACACTTTAATATATAAAGTAATTTTACATTACACACATATATATATATATATATATATGTTTGTGTGTGTGTATGCATGTATAAATGTAACATGTACATATACACGCACACACACACACTCTTTATGTACACAATCTATATACTGATCGAAAGCCAATTTATATTGTGATTAGTATCCATTAAACATCAGCTCATGATCAGAGAAACATCACACACACCGATTAAGCACACACACACACACACACTCGCTCCCTCTCTCACACACTCTCTCTCTCACACACACACTCGCGCGCTGTCTCTCTCTCACACACACACACACACACTCGCTCTCTCTCTCTCTCTCTCTCACACACACACTCTCTCTCTCTCTCTCTCTCTCTCACACACACACTCTCTCTCTCTCTCTCTCTCTCTCACACACACACTCTCTCTCTCTCTCTCTCTCTCTCACACACACACTCTCTCTCTCTCTCTCTCTCTCTCACACACACACTCTCTCTCTCTCTCTCTCTCTCTCACACACACACTCTCTCTCTCTCTCTCTCTCTCTCACACACACACTCTCTCTCTCTCTCTCTCTCTCTCACACACACACTCTCTCTCTCTCTCTCTCTCTCTCACACACACACTCTCTCTCTCTCTCTCTCTCTCTCACACACACACTCTCTCTCTCTCTCTCTCTCTCTCACACACACACTCTCTCTCTCTCTCTCTCTCTCTCACACACACACTCTCTCTCTCTCTCTCTCTCTCTCACACACACACTCTCTCTCTCTCTCTCTCTCTCTCACACACACACTCTCTCTCTCTCTCTCTCTCTCTCACACACACACTCTCTCTCTCTCTCTCTCTCTCTCACACACACACTCTCTCTCTCTCTCTCTCTCTCTCACACACACACTCTCTCTCTCTCTCTCTCTCTCTCACACACACACTCTCTCTCTCTCTCTCTCTCTCTCACACACACACTCTCTCTCTCTCTCTCTCTCTCTCACACACACACTCTCTCTCTCTCTCTCTCTCTCTCACACACACACTCTCTCTCTCTCTCTCTCTCTCTCACACACACACTCTCTCTCTCTCTCTCTCTCTCTCACACACACACTCTCTCTCTCTCTCTCTCTCTCTCACACACACACTCTCTCTCTCTCTCTCTCTCTCTCACACACACACTCTCTCTCTCTCTCTCTCTCTCTCACACACACACTCTCTCTCTCTCTCTCTCTCTCTCACACACACACTCTCTCTCTCTCTCTCTCTCTCTCACACACACACTCTCTCTCTCTCTCTCTCTCTCTCACACACACACTCTCTCTCTCTCTCTCTCTCTCTCACACACACACTCTCTCTCTCTCTCTCTCTCTCTCACACACACACTCTCTCTCTCTCTCTCTCTCTCTCACACACACACTCTCTCTCTCTCTCTCTCTCTCTCACACACACACTCTCTCTCTCTCTCTCTCTCTCTCACACACACACTCTCTCTCTCTCTCTCTCTCTCTCACACACACACTCTCTCTCTCTCTCTCTCTCTCTCACACACACACTCTCTCTCTCTCTCTCTCTCTCTCACACACACACTCTCTCTCTCTCTCTCTCTCTCTCACACACACACTCTCTCTCTCTCTCTCTCTCTCTCACACACACACTCTCTCTCTCTCTCTCTCTCTCTCACACACACACTCTCTCTCTCTCTCTCTCTCTCTCACACACACACTCTCTCTCTCTCTCTCTCTCTCTCACACACACACTCTCTCTCTCTCTCTCTCTCTCTCACACACACACTCTCTCTCTCTCTCTCTCTCTCTCACACACACACTCTCTCTCTCTCTCTCTCTCTCTCACACACACACTCTCTCTCTCTCTCTCTCTCTCTCACACACACACTCTCTCTCTCTCTCTCTCTCTCTCACACACACACTCTCTCTCTCTCTCTCTCTCTCTCACACACACACTCTCTCTCTCTCTCTCTCTCTCTCACACACACACTCTCTCTCTCTCTCTCTCTCTCTCACACACACACTCTCTCTCTCTCTCTCTCTCTCTCACACACACACTCTCTCTCTCTCTCTCTCTCTCTCACACACACACTCTCTCTCTCTCTCTCTCTCTCTCACACACACACTCTCTCTCTCTCTCTCTCTCTCTCACACACACACTCTCTCTCTCTCTCTCTCTCTCTCACACACACACTCTCTCTCTCTCTCTCTCTCTCTCACACACACACTCTCTCTCTCTCTCTCTCTCTCTCACACACACACTCTCTCTCTCTCTCTCTCTCTCTCACACACACACTCTCTCTCTCTCTCTCTCTCTCTCACACACACACTCTCTCTCTCTCTCTCTCTCTCTCACACACACACTCTCTCTCTCTCTCTCTCTCTCTCACACACACACTCTCTCTCTCTCTCTCTCTCTCTCACACACACACTCTCTCTCTCTCTCTCTCTCTCTCACACACACACTCTCTCTCTCTCTCTCTCTCTCTCACACACACACTCTCTCTCTCTCTCTCTCTCTCTCACACACACACTCTCTCTCTCTCTCTCTCTCTCTCACACACACACTCTCTCTCTCTCTCTCTCTCTCTCACACACACACTCTCTCTCTCTCTCTCTCTCTCTCACACACACACTCTCTCTCTCTCTCTCTCTCTCTCACACACACACTCTCTCTCTCTCTCTCTCTCTCTCACACACACACTCTCTCTCTCTCTCTCTCTCTCTCACACACACACTCTCTCTCTCTCTCTCTCTCTCTCACACACACACTCTCTCTCTCTCTCTCTCTCTCTCACACACACACTCTCTCTCTCTCTCTCTCTCTCTCACACACACACTCTCTCTCTCTCTCTCTCTCTCTCACACACACACTCTCTCTCTCTCTCTCTCTCTCTCACACACACACTCTCTCTCTCTCTCTCTCTCTCTCACACACACACTCTCTCTCTCTCTCTCTCTCTCTCACACACACACTCTCTCTCTCTCTCTCTCTCTCTCACACACACACTCTCTCTCTCTCTCTCTCTCTCTCACACACACACTCTCTCTCTCTCTCTCTCTCTCTCACACACACACTCTCTCTCTCTCTCTCTCTCTCTCACACACACACTCTCTCTCTCTCTCTCTCTCTCTCACACACACACTCTCTCTCTCTCTCTCTCTCTCTCACACACACACTCTCTCTCTCTCTCTCTCTCTCTCACACACACACTCTCTCTCTCTCTCTCTCTCTCTCACACACACACTCTCTCTCTCTCTCTCTCTCTCTCACACACACACTCTCTCTCTCTCTCTCTCTCTCTCACACACACACTCTCTCTCTCTCTCTCTCTCTCTCACACACACACTCTCTCTCTCTCTCTCTCTCTCTCACACACACACTCTCTCTCTCTCTCTCTCTCTCTCACACACACACTCTCTCTCTCTCTCTCTCTCTCTCACACACACACTCTCTCTCTCTCTCTCTCTCTCTCACACACACACTCTCTCTCTCTCTCTCTCTCTCTCACACACACACTCTCTCTCTCTCTCTCTCTCTCTCACACACACACTCTCTCTCTCTCTCTCTCTCTCTCACACACACACTCTCTCTCTCTCTCTCTCTCTCTCACACACACACTCTCTCTCTCTCTCTCTCTCTCTCACACACACACTCTCTCTCTCTCTCTCTCTCTCTCACACACACACTCTCTCTCTCTCTCTCTCTCTCTCACACACACACTCTCTCTCTCTCTCTCTCTCTCTCACACACACACTCTCTCTCTCTCTCTCTCTCTCTCACACACACACTCTCTCTCTCTCTCTCTCTCTCTCACACACACACTCTCTCTCTCTCTCTCTCTCTCTCACACACACACTCTCTCTCTCTCTCTCTCTCTCTCACACACACACTCTCTCTCTCTCTCTCTCTCTCTCACACACACACTCTCTCTCTCTCTCTCTCTCTCTCACACACACACTCTCTCTCTCTCTCTCTCTCTCTCACACACACACTCTCTCTCTCTCTCTCTCTCTCTCACACACACACTCTCTCTCTCTCTCTCTCTCTCTCACACACACACTCTCTCTCTCTCTCTCTCTCTCTCACACACACACTCTCTCTCTCTCTCTCTCTCTCTCACACACACACTCTCTCTCTCTCTCTCTCTCTCTCACACACACACTCTCTCTCTCTCTCTCTCTCTCTCACACACACACTCTCTCTCTCTCTCTCTCTCTCTCACACACACACTCTCTCTCTCTCTCTCTCTCTCTCACACACACACTCTCTCTCTCTCTCTCTCTCTCTCACACACACACTCTCTCTCTCTCTCTCTCTCTCTCACACACACACTCTCTCTCTCTCTCTCTCTCTCTCACACACACACTCTCTCTCTCTCTCTCTCTCTCTCACACACACACTCTCTCTCTCTCTCTCTCTCTCTCACACACACACTCTCTCTCTCTCTCTCTCTCTCTCACACACACACTCTCTCTCTCTCTCTCTCTCTCTCACACACACACTCTCTCTCTCTCTCTCTCTCTCTCACACACACACTCTCTCTCTCTCTCTCTCTCTCTCACACACACACTCTCTCTCTCTCTCTCTCTCTCTCACACACACACTCTCTCTCTCTCTCTCTCTCTCTCACACACACACTCTCTCTCTCTCTCTCTCTCTCTCACACACACACTCTCTCTCTCTCTCTCTCTCTCTCACACACACACTCTCTCTCTCTCTCTCTCTCTCTCACACACACACTCTCTCTCTCTCTCTCTCTCTCTCACACACACACTCTCTCTCTCTCTCTCTCTCTCTCACACACACACACACACACACACACACACAGACTCGTGTCGGTGATCCGCCCCCCTCACGCATGAGGCTAGCAGCACGCGATGCTAACGCGCCTGTATGTGAATGCATTAGCGCTCGTAACGGGCCGTTAGTGATCTCTAGCTCACATGAGACACCCGTTACCCGTCACACCCCCCGCAGCTTACTTAGTAAACCCGTTAGAGCGCCAAACCGGGCAGAGGGAGATTCCCGCGCCGCGCGCGGCCTACAGCAGACAGGCACAATTCAAACCAGACAAACCCGCCAAAAGCGCAGCAGCCGCGCGCACTCACCGCGGTTATGTTGAGCGGACGGCACGAGAGAGCTGTGGAGTGCGCTCAGTCCTGGAGCATGAACGGCGGAACTCACCGAAACACGGTAAAACCTCTTCAGACGAACCCACGAGACAGAGCGAGACGGTCCCGTCGCTCAAACAACAGCGCCACTTCCTCGCGCGGCGGACCGGCTGCGTCACGACGCACGCTGCGCGGGAGCGCGTACGTTCGGGGCGGGGGCTCCGCGTGCACGAGCGGTCTGTCTCCGGTTGAGAGGATCTTAAAAATCATTAATAATCACTGCTTACTTTCAGATCTCATGTTTTAAAGGATTATTTAAATTGTATTACTTTATGTTTTGCGTCACTTTTTCAAAATTTCAAAAACTTCTAAAAACAAAGTAGAAAAACGGAACATGTTTGCTGCTTTATTCTGCTGTCAGCAGTCCATTACTTTATAATCTTGCTCGTCTTTGTATGTTCATAAGTCTGCCTTTGGAAGTTGTCTTGCAATGTAATTGTGCAAAATGTGTAATAAATAAAAATAAATAAATACACGACTTAATATCAACAGCAATGTTTGATTCCCACATGACGTTTAGATATAAAAAGTCTAAAAATAAAACATATATTGTGGTCAATCATGCTCTCTAGTTATACATAAATTGGTCAATGAAAACTCCATTTCTTATAAAGTTTTATGTGTGAAAAACGTAGGGGTCCAAATATTAGGAACGGGAACTGATCTATTTCTCTTCGGAGGGAATATTAGAGAAAGACTGCTCAAACATTGTTCACAGGTGAGAATGCGAGAGAGGCCGAAGCATAGATGTGGAAGGAATGTGGCTTCTTCCAATATTCATTGATTATTATGGTGAATGACGTCAAATTGACCTTCCAATATGGCGGATGGCTTACGTCAATATGTTCCAATATGGCACATAGAAACAATTGCTAATGAGGCATCTACTTATACATGTCTATGGCGAGGACCCTCTTGGAATTGCTCTGTTTCTTCTTCTTCTCCAAAATGAATTGCATTTTTGAGGGCCTAAACATGCTCGAAAACTCATGAAACTTTGCACACGCGTCAGAACCATAGACTGTATAAAAACATGGACGTAGTGTCCGTGACGTCACTCCCGGATAATCGAAAATGGGCAAAGAGGCGGGAGCAGGTTGCTGAAGCCCCGCCCACCTAGCTCGACGGCGGTGACAGCAGCGGCAATCCACCTGTCACTCAAGTGGCCACGCCCTTAATTATGCAGAACTTTAAGGCTTAATATAATGTAAACAGATGAGTTATAAAAAAATTCACCCCCCTCACAGTTGTCATGAAGGGCAAAATTAGCTATATAGACCAAAATCATTTTCTGAACCAGGCTGTAAACATGTTTTTTTCTGCTGTAAAGTTGGGCATTTTAACATGGGGAGTCTATGGGATTGACTCCCTTTTGCAGCCAGCCTCTAGCGGCCAGTTGACGAATTACAGTTTAAGTCACTTCCGTGTTGGCTTCACGAGAGAGAGCGGGAGGTTGCCGCTTGGTCAGAACTGGCGAAAATGTACATCTGATAGGGGTTTCAGAATTGGACGTGGCCAAATGGCTCGATAGCGCCACCTATAAAGTTTCAACGAAGCACCCCTCCCACTACATTTCCCGTACGTGTACGAAATTCAGTACATTCATGTAATGCCCCAATACCTACAAAAAAAGTCTCTTGGAGTGAAGTGAGAGTTTGCGTTGTTTTGTTTCTGCAAATTTTGTGCCGTTTTTGCCATTTTCAGGCCTCGTACTTTAACGAACTCCTCCTACAGTTTTAATCGGATCATCTTCAAATTTGGTGAGGGCCATCATAAGGCCTTTGCGATGCTAAATTGCGAAGATCTTGAGTTTTCATCGAAGGGCGTGTCCCTGGCGGCCTTACAAAGTTCGATGTTCCGCCACGAAACAGGAAGTTGCTGTAACTCAGGCAAACAATGTCCGATCTGCACCAAACTTCACACGTTATAGCCATAGCACCAGCTGCTGGCAACAGGAAGTGACATGTTTAACACTGTTATGGACTCTTAGGAGCATATTAAAAAGTGTCAGCAAGTGCTAAATAGGCTAGCAACATGCTAGCAACACTTAGCTAAGTGCTAAAGTATGCTATTAATACAAAGAAACAGGAAGTTGCTGTAACTCAGGCATGCAATGTCAAATCTGCACCTAACTTCACATTTGATAAAAGTCCTGTCCTGAAGACATTTACATGCCAATATTCAGTTATAGCCATAGCGCCACCTACTGGCAACAGGGATTTTGGCACATATAAATGACTTTGGCATATTCCTCTTATATTTAGCACTTTAAATGCACACGGCTCTCCGTTCACTGTTTTGCTAAGGCCACTGGGGTGCGAGGGCCCTTTCAACGCTGCTTGCAGCTTTAATTTCAGTTTAAGTTTATTTTACTAGAGAAAGTTAAGATAAACTAAATTAAAAAGAGAAACTAACTGGAAGTCGTTTTATCCAAGTAACAATTTTTTTTATGTTTTGCATTTAAGAAAGTCAATTTAAGAAAATCAGTTAAAAGACAGTTAAACATTCTATAATGAGCATATTTCACCCAGATATGAAAATCCTGTCATTGTTTCAAACATGCATGACTCCAAAACACCATAAACATCACAAAACTACTGTATGCGGCATGAATGAATCAAAGGTCTGTGCTTCAGATAAACTCAGAATGCTTTATTTTTCATACCAGCAACAGATTTAAACCATTTCAAACGGTTTATTCAACATTGGTTTATTCCTGAAGTATGGAATCATGCGAATGACAGCGGTTACAGAGAGAGAGACACGGTCTCAGGCACAAGACGTGATGATGATGATGATGATGGTGGAGCTTCAGTCGTCGTGCTTGAGCTTCCGGATCTTGCCCTTGTGTCTGTCGATCTCTCTCTGCAGACGCTCGATCTCCTTCTTATGATGGTCGATCTCTTCTTCATGATGTTTCTTCAGAGCCGCCAGCTGCTCCTTCTCCTTCTGCCTGTGGAAGCGCTTTATCATTAGTTCTGACACGAGTTTTCACCTGCTTGATTTGACTTGCTCGTGTTAGGCGATCTCTTCGAATCCACAGATAATATGATGTAAAAGACAAGACTGAAACTCACTTGAAGTAGCGCTCCTCCTCCGCGGCCTCCTTCTTCCCAAAGGCTCCTCCGGCTTCCCTCACCGAGCCGCCCGCTCCTCCGCCTTTCCCCGCTCCTCCGCCCAGCTCACCCAGCTGCAGACACACAGACGGTACGGTGTGATAATCGATTAATCTGGTGAGTACTGCTTCGATTAATCTGGTGAGCGCTGCTTCGATTAATCTGGTGAGCGCTGCTTCGATTAATCTGGTGAGCGCGGCTTCGATTAGTCTGGTGACGCTGCTTCGATTAATCTGGTGAGCGCTGCTTCGATTAATCTGGTGAGCGCTGCTTCGATTAATCTGGTGAGCGCTGCTTCGATTAATCTGGTGAGCGCTGCTTCGATTAATCTGGTGAGCGCTGCTTCGATTAATCTGGTGAGCGCTGCTTCGATTAATCTGGTGAGCGCTGCTTCGATTAATCTGGTGAGCGCTGCTTCGATTAATCTGGTGAGCGCTGCTTCGATTAATCTGGTGAGCGCTGCTTCGATTAATCTGGTGAGCGCTGCTTCGATTAATCTGGTGAGCGCTGCTTCGATTAATCTGGTGAGCGCTGCTTCGATTAATCTGGTGAGCGCTGCTCCGATTAATCTGGTGAGCGCTGCTCCGATTAATCTGGTGAGCACTGCTCCGATTAATCGGATGAAAACTGAAAACGTGTTCAACGTGTTCAGTTGTAAACACATGCTATAATCACACTGACTCTGTTAGAGGAATATTTTAAAGCTTCAACGGCTTCAACGACCAAAACGCAATTAATCCGTCGTTTATTTTTCCGATTAATCCCACAAACGAGACTTCGATTAATCTGGTGAGCGCTGCTTCGATTAATCTGGTGAGCGCTGCTTCGATTAATCTGGTGAGCGCTGCTTCGATTAATCTGGTGAGCGCTGCTTCGATTAATCTGGTGAGCGCTGCTTCGATTAATCTGGTGAGCGCTGCTTCGATTAATCTGGTGAGCGCTGCTTCGATTAATCTGGTGAGCGCTGCTTCGATTAATCTGGTGAGCGCTGCTTCGATTAATCTGGTGAGCGCTGCTTCGATTAATCTGGTGAGCGCTGCTTCGATTAATCTGGTGAGCGCTGCTTCGATTAATCTGGTGAGCGCTGCTTCGATTAATCTGGTGAGCGCTGCTTCGATTAATCTGGTGAGCGCTGCTTCGATTAATCTGGTGAGCGCTGCTTCGATTAATCTGGTGAGCGCTGCTTCGATTAATCTGGTGAGCGCTGCTTCGATTAATCTGGTGAGCGCTGCTTCGATTAATCTGGTGAGCGCTGCTTCGATTAATCTGGTGAGCGCTGCTTCGATTAATCTGGTGAGCGCTGCTTCGATTAATCTGGTGAGCGCTGCTTCGATTAATCTGGTGAGCGCTGCTTCGATTAATCTGGTGAGCGCTGCTTCGATTAATCTGGTGAGCGCTGCTTCGATTAATCTGGTGAGCGCTGCTTCGATTAATCTGGTGAGCGCTGCTTCGATTAATCTGGTGAGCGCTGCTTCGATTAATCTGGTGAGCGCTGCTTCGATTAATCTGGTGAGCGCTGCTTCGATTAATCTGGTGAGCGCTGCTTCGATTAATCTGGTGAGCGCTGCTTCGATTAATCTGGTGAGCGCTGCTTCGATTAATCTGGTGAGCGCTGCTTCGATTAATCTGGTGAGCGCTGCTTCGATTAATCTGGTGAGCGCTGCTTCGATTAATCTGGTGAGCGCTGCTTCGATTAATCTGGTGAGCGCTGCTTCGATTAATCTGGTGAGCGCTGCTTCGATTAATCTGGTGAGCGCTGCTTCGATTAATCTGGTGAGCGCTGCTTCGATTAATCTGGTGAGCGCTGCTTCGATTAATCTGGTGAGCGCTGCTTCGATTAATCTGGTGAGCGCTGCTTCGATTAATCTGGTGAGCGCTGCTTCGATTAATCTGGTGAGCGCTGCTTCGATTAATCTGGTGAGCGCTGCTTCGATTAATCTGGTGAGCGCTGCTTCGATTAATCTGGTGAGCGCTGCTTCGATTAATCTGGTGAGCGCTGCTTCGATTAATCTGGTGAGCGCTGCTTCGA